TTTTTTTTTTTTTTTTTTTTTTTTTTTTTTTTTTTTTTTTTTTTTCTTTGTCTTCCCTATATTTCACGTCAAACGAACTGTATCCCTGGTGATATTGAGAAAGGTCACGAATCCACGGCCAGTAGATACGCACCTTGCGTTGGGGGACTCGAAAAAATTTTAATTTTGTGTTAATTTTTCGAAACGAGACCAAGACTCGATTTCGGGTATCAATTTTCACTACGGGACGATACGTGTTGGAGAAAAAAACAAAATAAGGCAAGAATGCTTTCACAAGATTTTGGCAAAAACATAGATGGTCTAAAAAAGTCAGTCTTTACATTACGTCACTAGGGCACAATGTACAAACATGCCTTTACACATATAAGTATTCAAATTCATATTGACTTGAAAAATTACATACATCGTATATTTCTCCATAGTCTCTTTGCGCAGAGCTATCCCTTCCTTACTTGTTAACTGTTTCCCTAATTACTCATTAACATTATCTGATTTTCCATATTTACCTTTACTTACGGCTTGGTACAACTCTAGAATATTAGATACTACCTCCTATCGTCAGACCCAAAGTATGTCTCGACACGACACTCAATGTATTGTAGCTTCATCATAGCACTCGTGGAAAACTGTAGTTTCATACTTGCTGTGACGAGACCACTGGTTAATACACAATATCAATGGACAACAACGTGTAAGTACCCGATACATATTATTTTTCGGAGTGAGCGAATGTAGCGTAGCATAATAAAAGACAACAATTCTAAAATAAATACGTATAATTTATAATTTATTAATTTGACAATATTTACCAAGTAATAGGCTAATTACGATTTTTTTCGGATATTGTATACATACATGGTTCCTTGCACGGATAATTGTAAAAATTTTATTGGCCCTTTTTTGAACGAATATATGAATACAATAGACGTGTGTTGCCTTTTAGCAATATTACAACTTGTTTTTCTTATTAATAACTTCTTTAACAAATTTTATCAATATATTTTATCTTACAAATTAATTGTATCAATATTTTCAAGGATTTTAATATCCTCACCACGTTGTAACAAAGGTGTTTTGTATAAATAAAAATATTAGCAATTTTTTCGTGGCTAAACCTTATCATTTATATGTGTGAAACACATTATTTGTACTGTTATAAATTTTATTTGTCATACAGCATCGAAGTAACATTTTTCCTGGTCGAAGCAGCATTAATTTGGCTTGTAATAATCGGTAATGGCACAACTATTATTGTCCAGAGTCTAAACCGTAGTCTATTTGACGAAGTTTCGAGTCACTTGATAGTCAACCTCACCATTGCGGACCTGTTCATTGGTTTAGCATACCTCCACATGGTTGTCATTTTTCTGACGAATCCTGCAAACAAATATGCATGCTTAGTATGGTAATTATAATACATTTTTAAATTGGTGTACAGATTTTGATCATATCACCCCAAGAATTATATTGGATTGTACGAGCCAAAATATTTTTTCTCTCAAAAACGCCGCAGTACATGAAATCCTATTTTTTTGACGGAAAGTTTCCCACCATTTCTGCCACATAAAATTTTTTGTTTTATTTAACAGCGTTTCCTGTATGCATTTCGCCATAACTGCAAGTTTTTACGCCACATTAGCGATAGCAATCAATCGTTACGTAGCCATCGTTTATCCACTCAAGTATACTAAATACGTGGCCAGGCGGATGGTTAACGCAATGATAGTAGCCAGTTGGTGTGCAGCTGTGCTCATATCCTCGGTACTTTTGTACTGGAACAATTACGACCCCGAAAAGGGCAATTGCAAAGATGCGGTACCCAAGTAAGTAATCGAGTATTGAAAATGAGAGAAAAACTTCATTTCTTTTAGTAGAAAATAGTATAACCTTTTGATATATTTAGACTCTACTATGAAGTGATTTGGACACCGAATTTCATGGTCACGTGGTTCAGCATTTTTGTACTTTACTTGGAAATTGCGAAAGCGACGAGGGCACACATGGAAAGGTCGAAGGCGAGGTCGAGAGGAACGACGGAGGGTAACAATACGAGCGACAAAAGCAGCAATTTAGTATGTATACACTTATGATATACTTACGTGTAAGTTTTTGTTATCGGTAATAACGAAATGTATGTTCTATGCACTGTTACGAAGCAGTATATTGCGTTACAAGAGCGCGAAGCAAAGAGTTTTAATCTAACTTTGTTGCTTATTTGTGACATAAACAATAAATGTTACCTCAAGCCCTGAGATAACACAATATAACATACATTGATGGCTAGAAAGTAAACTAGCCATCGCTCGTGCGACTAATCGTTCTGGTCGAGCTTGAGGTAATGGTGTCACAGCCACTTACAGGCGGTGGTGGTACTTTTACTTGTGATCAATGTACGGGAGTGCCTCATATTTTTGTCAGAGAAAAAAGTGCGACCGCTAATAAAATCATCCATTTTTCATGTTAAACAAATTTTGAATCTAGCTCGGGGGTTATACGAGTTGGTCACATGATTTGTGTGTATGTATGTATGTGTGTATGTAATGAAGTATTTCGACTTACTCAAGTAATTATACTATACAAATTATACGAATAGGATTAAACTTCGTGCATAGGTAGATTTGGGTTTAATATGTCGAAGCTGATCATTTACATTCGGACAGTTTTCATCAAAGAGACAAATTTTGAGAAGAAAAAAAAAAAACAGCTGTTTTATAGCATAAATACCTTTTTTTACGTTTCACTTGCGGGGAAAACTTTGTACACTTTTTTGTGTTTACCATTTCCATCTATGGAGCCATCCTAACACAGTAAATGAGGAAAATCGTTTTGTATAGTAGGCAATTTTTTTTATAACCTTCGTCATTGACTCACAAAATATAAACGTAAAACTTTTTAGGAAACAATGAAAATAATCTAAAAATAAAATCCTACACCTTGAATTACACTGTTTGCCCTGGCGACTTGTACATTGGTCGTGCCTCACATGCAAGACGTAGTTTTTTGCATAAATTCATCCGTTCGGTTTTGCATACAAACGCTACAAATTCCATACCGAAACCTCGAAATTGCAACGTGACACTGTACAAGTGCAGGAAACAAAAAATTTGAGCCATGGTATGCAAAAAAATTTATTCAAATTTTCTAAAATACCGATCACTTGCAACAATTTTTCGTTCCCCAAGGTATTCCTGTTCCTGGGCTGTTTCACGATTTGCTGGTTACCACACGTGGTCACGAGGCTATTGAAATTATCGTTACACCTTGACGATCGGTCCACCACCATGATCATCGTCAATCAAACATCGGTACTAATGGCCATGTCCAACGGCGTTATCAACCCGCTTATCTATGCTTGGAAGACCCCAGCTTATCGCGAAGCCTATCAGCGCGTATTCAAACCCAAAGCACTGAATGATAACAATCACAATAATAATTTGGAAGTGCGTACAAATCCAGACGTCAGTACGACGAGGATTAGTAGAATGTGGCTACGTTTTTCCACCGACGATATCAACGTTTAGCTAAATCTCATTGACAAGGTGCCATATCTTAGATCATAGATGATGATTTTGGAGGAAGGAAGGATTCCCTACTTATTTTTACTGAATAACGAAAAAAAATATTCGTACTTGATTTAGAAATATCTAGTCAATGTCTAGCTGTGCCTAACTTGAATTTAACAACAACTTTCAAGTTTAGAATCCGTTTTGGAACTCATTTGTTACGTGTAAGTTGTGTAAGGCTTCAAAGACTAATTTATTTTGTATTTTTTGTCTATAGTTTTATGATGTAAAATAAAAGATTTTGTATAAGAATTCAAGCATCGATAAACTGTGTCTCTTATTAAAAACCACTTGTACTAGATCTGTGGACTTTGGAATCCGTTCGAGGAGCTGACCTCTTCCAAGTCTCCTTAAAAATATTTTTATAGAATTAGAATCTAGAGTCTAAAATATAAAATATTGAAAAAAATATTGTTCCGAGCACTCGTAATTAATACTGAAAATTACCACCAGACTTATGGATTTCTAAAAAAATGTCACGTTTTTCATGTTTTCTCTAATTTTTTTTTTTTTTTTTTTTCATTACGTTTTCTCTGGTTTCCATTACGTCAATTCAACATCGTAATGATGTTAAGTAATAAAATTAAAAAAAAAAAAAAAAGGATTTCTTTACAAAAGAAAATAAGGATTTTCCCTTTCAATGAGTATCAAGGAGGTCACGTAAAAATCAAGGGCCAATAACCCGAGGGTAAAAAGCACGGCAAAATGTTTCCAACTCGATGCTCATTGGGATGAAATTTATTATTTTTTTTATCAAATTGCCAGGCTCCGCTCCACTCGTGCGAGCGATGAACTCGGTCGCAAAGTTCAATTTTTTTCGAGGCCGGCTGCGTATTATTCCTCTTATTCGGTATGCGGCTACCTCGCGGCCATTTGTATGCATCCAGTGTACAGGCCGTCGTATGGGAGAAGACGTAGGGGAGAAGAGAGCGGAAAGGCACTTTGGTCTTATGGGCTCCTCCCCCCTCCCTCACTCTTTCTCTCATTTATATTTCACGTACGAGTTCATTTTATTTTAATGACACTGCAATTATCTTCGTTTAAATAAACACCGGGTTCCCCGAAATTCCGATGCTTATCAAATGGTCTGTGTCTCATTAGAAATGCATTGAAATTTTATCTTTGCTAAACTTGAATTAAACGAAGATTATGCTCCGAGAAAATGTGAGTGTGTAAATTTTTACGAATTTATTAAGTTATTAAAAAATATTAGTAGTAAAATAGATCATAGTTTATTCTTATGTCTGGTTTGTCATTCAATTGTCTTTTTAAGTAATGAGTCGTTCGTCTCGACCGAGTGATCTCAATGTTATTCCACTAATTTTACGCGCTCAAAATAGATTTTTGAGCGGCTACCGGTGCTTTTTAATCCTAATTACTACCATTAATTAATTTAATATGTCAAAAAATTGATTTGTTGATGGTTACGGTGATGATTACTTAACGAGACAGGTAACGTTTTTGACACAATTATTAAGATGAATGCGTTTATTTGTGGATGAAAGTTTTTTATTTTCATTTATTTGGTTGATTGATGGAATTGCATGGTACGCTACAGAAGACAGAAATTCACAATTTTATGATATTTTTATACAACAGTTTATTTTGGTTACTTTTTCAGACACTGTACCATTTGAGAGTGCTCTGATGATTGTAAATGTCTAAACAAAGCTTGTATTATAAATTGTGATATTTTTAGTTATTTCTAACGTAAAAACTATTAAGTGAAAAATATTTTTTAATTAAAATTTTTTTAAATAGCAAATTACAACTTGTTGTCCTGTTTTTCTTAAATGAAGTAGGAATAATATTTGGCTGTTTTGACTATTTTCGTGCCAATTTTAATTAGATATAATTTTAAAGCGCCCATGTAAAACCGAGCAAAGCAAACAAATTTGGAAACACAAGGATTTTATGTAATAATTCAATTTTAATTTACAATTTTTCATATTGTTATGCAACAAAATTTGATCAAAAAATAATAACTTTGTCCTAGAATTAAAATAACAAAAAACACTGTAAACGTTTTTAATTTGCACGTAATCCAATTAAAAATAAAAATCTCTATTGTACTACCAATGCGCGCGCACGTGTGTACATACATGTACATAACTCGAGGAGATTCGCACTGTGAATTCGAAGTAAGCCGAAAATAACAGAGACGTACCGGAGAGTGAAAATTGTGAAAAAAAGGCGTCTAATATTAATTCACGAAAAACGTACAGGATACTAAGTTGAAAAAAAAAAAAGCACTGAAATTGAAAATAAGCAAATTACACCCAACCATCGTAAATATTGAAAACAACTCGTCCTCGGCGCGTACAAAATAGCTAAAGCAAAAATAAAACAATTTGTCAATTGAGTTTGAAGAAAATAAAAAAAACCCTGACCACACGCAATTATAATAAATATGTAATGATTCCTTGCGCAACCCGTCACTGCCCCTACCGCACACACGACTAATAAATTGCTCGCTCCACCGAACGGTAAAAAAAAAAATCACCAAGGGAAAGCATAAATAATGCAAAGCACCGCGAACAATCAGTACCGATGAGTAAATTAAAAAAAAAAAAAAAAGGCTAATCGATTGAATTGGATGTAAACCCGTTAACTCAGAGCAATAAAGAACCGCTCGCTCCTCTGTTTTTCTCTCCCCGCCGAATTTCCACTCGGACAAATAAACACCAGAGAAGAACGGCGTGTCTGCCAAGGTGAAGGAAAAAAAAAAAAAGGAAAAAAATCAAGTCCGAGACGAACAGTTGGAGGGGACAAACCGCGATGGCCCGTTTTGTTTTTCCAAGCTCAGCATCGTCACACCTCGAGACAAAGCTCCGGTGCGCGTACACGCGTGTAAGTACAGTTGGACAATCTATATTGTCGACGGGCGCATCTTCGGTAGCGCACATAAAGGCCCGATCGTTTCCGCATCGATTAAAAAACCAAGACGCGCGTCCGTTGTAGCGGCGGTAGCCGAAGAAAGAAAAAATACCCAAGAGCTTGTACTAAGAGTTAAAATTTTATCATTACTCACATTCTTGGTTGAAAATATTTTTAAAATATACAACAAATTCTCTTAATTTACTCTTAAAAGTTATAATTAATGGTTTTACTACTGTTGTTGCATTTTGATAAAGTTATGAAACCTCCTTCATAAATTATAAAGATATGTAGATGTAAATATGATTAGACTGGTATGTACACATATGGAATAAATGGTAAATTTTTAAAATAAAAATCAAGTTTTTTATTACAATTTTCTCTAATGTATTTACTCATATCGACACGGATCTTGCATTTACTAAAATAAATATAGTCATTATGATTCTTGATTGCATCGTAAAATTAGTTTTCTCTTTTTTAATGCTGTGAATCCACGTTTCTCAATGAATCATCTACATTCAACAAATTCAGTTTTGAAGAAGCTGACAGCCCAATATCTAAAAAGTTATGAAAAATTAGATACGTCAACAGTGTTAATAATTAAAAAAGCAATAAATGACACGACANCGGTGCGCGTACACGCGTGTAAGTACAGTTGGACAATCTATATTGTCGACGGGCGCATCTTCGGTAGCGCACATAAAGGCCCGATCGTTTCCGCATCGATTAAAAAACCAAGACGCGCGTCCGTTGTAGCGGCGGTAGCCGAAGAAAGAAAAAATACCCACCGGGCGGTGAGCAATGGAAGAAAAAAAAAAAAAAAAAAAAAATTAGGTAGGGGGAGAGAACAAAACGGTGATGCGGACGGAGCAAACGATACACGTGAAAAATAAGCAGGAGGAGGAGGAGGAGGAGGAAAGTAGTAGGAGAAGAGGCTGCAGAGCGGGCGCGCGTCTCTCTGGTGCGTGATTAAAGAGTCTCCCGCGCGCTACTACGCGCGCTGTGTACCACCGAGGCTTCTTTTAGTCGGACGTTGTGTACATTGGGAGAACGGTAGCTATACACCGTCAATATAGCGTTGCTGCTCCTTTTGAATCGCCGAGCTTTTCTACTTTTTTTTTTTTTTTTTTTTTCTTCAAATTTCTCTCTTTCGGAGTTGACACGCGAGTGCTCTGTTTCGTGGTGCGGCTTTGGGCGAGTGTTAATTGTGCTTGCTTGCTTGGTTACTGAGAGAAGCGCCGGCTACACCAAGGTGGGTACTTGTGTGCTTTGGAACCATCGCAGTTTCCCTCCTTTGTTTATAACTTAAAAAAAAAAAAAAAAAAAAAAAAAAAAAAAAAAAAAAAAAAACAAACTTGCAACCCAATATACTGCACAGTGAGCGCTGCCGTTGAAAAGAGATACGAGCCAAGCGATAATCGAAAGTTCTATTTTCCATGGTGGCGATCTCTCGGCAAGTGGGTCAGCGCCTCTCTCGCGTACATCGGCATGATTATTTTGACAATCCAACCGCGGGTGGATTTATATACTTTTGGGATGCCGGTGTTTCCGACAAAAGTCAAGAGTAACCCGCGGCTCGAACAATGCGGGGAAATTTTCGAGCGAGAAACACCGTCGAGGAACTTTCACGCCCGAGCCCTCGTACATCAACTCGCGACGGGGGCCCCCCTCTTTCTACCCTTCCGCGCGAAACATTCGACACAATGGCCTTTCTTTCAATTCGACAACGGTGGGGTGGAGGAAACAAATTTTCTGCCCTGTATATGAAAAAATAGAGTAACGAAATATCAACAATGAAAAGGGGATTGGGGCGGGAAAGAAAAGGCTCGAAGGGGTAGCCAATGGCAGCAAGGAAGGTTTTTTTTTTTTTCACGAATAACCCACCAAAGTCGAGGAGTAGGAAGTGCCGTGGCGAGTGCCGTGCATCACGTGCACGTATACGTGGTATCCGTAACTAGGCATATTTATCGGACTGCGCACGCTGCGAGTGCCGTTTGCCTTGGCTCCGTCCTTCTTCTTTGCTCTGCTCGGCTTTTCGCGTATCACTGCGTATTTTCATGACGTTGGAGCTTCTTTGGACGAATGAGGGAAACAAAAAAAAAACATCATTTTGCACACAACCGAGAAGACTATGAGAGGGTCATTGGTCGGCAAAGTAACGTTTTCCCTACACACGTATCACACGTGAGCTCGAAACGTCCACAATGGCCCGAACACGCACGTGCGCGAGTATTCAAATCCGTCGATGGGGTTCCGGGG